GTGTGTGTGTGTGTGTGTGTTAGAGGGAGCTGGAGATTGGGCAGGAGGGATTGTGGCTGCTCCCAGGAGCAAGACCAGCTATGAGAGGTGCACATCCCATATCTGCTGTGAGATTTGAGAATGACCATGCTTGGCGCAATTCAGTGGCATTGAGACACATCTCATTTCTTAGGAGGAAGACTGTATATACTGCCTACAGAAGGTAATGTAAAGCCAGACTACCCTCTCACCTAAATAACATAAATGGTGGGGGAAAAGATATAATAAAACAGACCACTTCTAAAATTGATGATCTAAAATAGAGGTCATCATCTTTATCTTCCATCTTTTTCTTAATGATTTGTAACAGCTAATTACATATTAAGGCTGTTAAACCATTTGTCATGTTAATGTTTTCCAGCAGCTTATCATTTCTCTTTGCTTTATTCGTAGTGTCCTGTGCCATAATAATTTAAAATAAATATATTTTGAACAAACTGTTGCATGAAGTAAAATGTAAATGTTTCCCTTCAGCCTTCCTTCTCTGACCCAAATTTTACCCAACAACCACTCCGCAGAAGTATAGCACTGTTATGTTTACACATATTTAAAATGTTTTCTCAGCATATATACAATCATATTGAAAAATACAAATGGAATCATGCCATGTGCAGTGAATTACAAGTTATTTTTTTACTTTTTATGGGCATCTTTCCATAGTTGGACCCCTAATTCTCCTTAATGGCTACATAGTTTTCCATTGGGTGAATTTACTATAGTTTTTCTAGACATTTGGGTTTCTTCTAGGTTCTTTGCTTACAGAGAGTGTCAGAATGAATATCTGTATACGTAAGTCTTTGCACAAGTGAGTATATGTGAAAGTAAATTCTCTTAAGATTGGAATTAGTGCATCAAAGGGTAGATGCAATTTAAATTCTCACAGATTTCCTGTTGACAGAATTCATGTGGAAATTTTAAGAATGAAAGTAGCTAAATCAGTGACGCTTCCCTTTATGGATTTCTTGCCTTTGATGTCATGCTAAGGAAGAAACCTTCTCCCATCCCGGTGTCTTCTCACAGTAATTTTTAGTTGCTGCTTTTTAGGAATTGTTGCTTATATTTATATCTGTAACTCCTAGGGAATTTATTTTGACTTATATTTTGAGATAAGGATCTGACTTTGTTTTTGCCCCCCAAATGGATAGCCAATTTTCCCAAAGTCATTTATTGAATAATGCACCATTTTATCACTCAACTTGAAATGTGAGCTTTGCCATGCACTAAATTCCTACTTAGTCATTCCTGGACTCTGTTCCATTATTCGGCTTGTTTCTACACGGCAGTTGCTATAGTTTTGTATTCTCTTTGACAGTTTTAACAGTAGGATTCCTTTTTTCTCAAAAATTGGAGGTTGCCAAGAGAATGCTGGTCTCATAGCCCCCTCTTGTGGGCATGAGGTATCACCGCAGCCTTTTTCTATGTCATGAAAGCTAAGGCTTGTACTACAATGGGTTCCTTTCCACAAGCCCCCGCAGGTGCTCTGGGCGCCTAGAGCACCGTTGGGAGACACTCCCCGCAGTCATTACATCTTTCTTCCTCTGAGGCTAGTCCGCTCTCCAAGCCAAAATGGGGAACAGTTTCATTTTGTCCCTAATGTGTCACGAGGCGAAGCTGTGATCTGGAGCTGAGTCCAGCTGGAGACTCGAGATGGAGGGAACCAGATTTGCTCAAAGGCCCTCCAGTGAAAGCTGGGTCCCCTAACGCCCAGGCCACATCAGGTCTGACCTCTGCTGGAATGGTCTCCTTGGGAAGTTTCTTGCAGGGTGGGCCTGCGGGTTGGTGCTCAGAGCCGGTCACCTTCCCTGTGATGGGCATGTCGGCCTTTACGTGGCCGTATGTAAAGAACAATAACTAGACTTTGGCAACTCTGGCCAATGTTCTGCCTGCAAGAATATATAAAATCAGACATTTTCCTGTTCCTAGGACCATTGTGAGGTTTAAGTGTTTCAGAATAGATGTAAAGGAGCTATCATAGTGCCTAGTGCACAGTAGGTGTTCAGTTAAAAAGCAGCTCCTTTTTCAACGTAGTTCTCCTAATAGCTCTGTTTTCTTCTATCCACGCCTGCCTTCCTGTCCCCTGCCTCCCCTTCCCCGTACTCACACCGTGTATTCATTCATTCTCTTCCTCTCCTCTCAGTCTCTTTTTAAGTTTCTCTTTTCTCAGTCTCTCCATCCTTCTGAAGTGCCCTGATGGGGCTCACTGACCTGACTTCCCAGGAGCACATTTGCTTGTGTGACTCCTGGGTATGGTCCTCGCGCTGTGTGCGCGCGCGTGTGTGTGCGTGCGTGGGTGCATGCGCTACTGTGGTAAGTCCCTAGGAGTAGAAAGCACAGCTCAGCCAGAACTGCTCAATACTCGGCCCACCCAGTGCTCCAGGGGTGGAGCAGGGGTCTGAGCTGCAACAGGAAAAGTGTGTAGACACGAGTGTGGCCAGGTGATGGTGCAGAGAGCCTGTTTTGTGTGTGGTAACCTTGCCACCCTGAGTTTGGTGAGTGCCCCTGAGGGACTGACTGGCTGACTCTCTCCTGCTGCAGACCCACTCGGGATACTTCTCCAGCTTGTACCCGCCTCACCAGTTCAGCCCGTTCCCGCATCATCACTCTGTAAGTGCCCCTCAGTTCAGCCCCATTGCCGCTTTCCCTCACCTGTGGCTGGCACCGCGTGGTCCTTGGCGGGCTGACCCCAGAATGTTCACGGTGTGAGCGCTGGGTCCTGAGGCTCCAGGCCGTCCTGGGGTGAGACATCGCAGGGCGCGTGTGCACCAGACTGGCCAGCGCTCCAGTCCACCGCAGGTTCTTCAGAGCGCTGGTGCGGTCCCGTTCACAGCCCTGTGGATGTTTACAGTCCTGTAGGTGGCGGGGAAAATGGTTCAAATGAGTGGTCAACAGGCCAGATTGGGAGGCGTTGCTGAGCTAAAGACCAGAGTTTTCAATGATCTTTGAACAAAGTCTAGCAAGCGGGGTCATTTTATTTCTGCGTACTCCTGTAGCACAGACCCCTCGTGGCCTTGCCCACGTCTCTCAGGACTGTCACTAGGCGGCCTGGTCAGGGCAGGTTTAGTTGTCTTATTTTGAGTATGGCTCCAGTCTAGTGAAAATTCCATTCCTGGCTGCGACGCACGGGGCTGCTTCCTGTTCCCTCTGACAGTGCCTCCCAGCCCTGTGCTCGGGCCAGGGACACCGAATTGATTTCTAGGCTGAGATAGGCCAGCCACACATCACATTTGTATGTGGCAGAAACCCTATGAGTGGACAGCTTCCTGTGTCCAGCAAATGCGGAGATAGAGGCCCCCGAGGAGTTGGCATGTAGGCTGGCGTGTCATGCTTGCTTGTGTTCAGGCTCCTCCTTCAGGCTTCACACCTGCTGAGGCCTAGGCCACAAAAGAACCCATGCACCATTTGGGCCATTTTCTTGGTCATGGGGCCACCCCACCATTTGGCCCATAGTAGACAGTCGGTAACTTCCTGGAAGAGCAACCGCCCTGGGAATGTCTTCTGTCTTGTCTTGCCCTTCCAGTACCCGGAGCAGGAGATTGTGAATCTCTTCATCCCAACCCAGGCGGTGGGGGCCATCATCGGGAAGAAGGGGGCGCACATCAAACAGCTGGCTCGATTCGCCGGGGCCTCCATCAAGGTAAAGCGTCTCAGCAGCCGTCTACGCCCCACCCTCTTCTGCCACCACCTCCCCACCCATGTCCCTTGTTCCTCTGTCAGTCCCTAGGGTGGCAACTCCTCCGCCATCCAGGGTCAGAATCCCACAGGATCTGAAAAATTCACCTCCAGAACTATTCCCATCACCTCTCTCATTCCTTTTTTGTTAGACTAACAGCTGAATTAGAGAAAATATTAATAACAGGTAAGCCATCCCATTTCTCATTGGGTTTCCATGGTCCTCTCCCAAAAGGCTGAGGACTTTTCCCAAACTAAGGGAGCGAGTTTAAGTGGAGCAGTTGTTTATACTTAGCAGTTTTCAGCGCTTTGATGCTTTAACTGAGTCCCCACTTCGCAATCCCTTGAACTTTGAAAAACTCTTTGAAAAGCGATGGGGAATAAGCCGCAAATAAACAAAAAGCCAATGACATAACCTGATACGAAGCCGAAGCCCCGGGACTGCGGGGAGCTCAGGAAGGAAGGGCCCCTGATTTACAGGAAGGGCTGCGCGTCCAGGTGTGGCTGCAGTTACATACCCACGTCTTGCCTCCTGGAGCACATGAAGAATCGTCAGAGGAGCTGAAAGGGAAGGATTCTTCAGCCCTGGTCCTGCTCTCAACCCAGCTATCAGCTCTGACTCACGGGCGGAATGCTGAGCACGTCCCGAGCCTCATGAAGCACTTTCGGAAACAGAGTTTCCGTTGTTACGGAAAATAATGTGCTGCCATGGGACAACGCGGAATTCCGCACGGGGAGTCTCGTGACTTGGAGAGAAAGAATGCTTACACTCTCTCCCCCAGAAGAGCTGGAATTTCTCCCACAGCAAATGTGCCGGAGAGAACAAAACAACACACTTCAAGTAGCACAGAGCAAGCATTGCAGTGAGAGTGTAAAGGAATTTGTTTTAGGTAAATCATTTCCCCTTCCAGGCCTCATTTATCCCTCCTGCAGAGTGGGTAGACTAGATGAGAGCCCTAAGGTGTGAGGGGACAGTGGTGGAGCATGGGGGAGCCTGTGCACCCTGCAGGCTTTTGCAGGTGAAACCTGGCCCAGGCTGGCCCCTCCCCCTGGTGGGACAGGTAAGTATGGAAGACCACAGGGCTGGCTGTACCCTGAGGGCCTTTCCAAGTGGTCAGTCCTGTGGTCTGAGATGCTGTGCAGGAGACAGAATGAGATGATTTCAACTAAAAAAGGACTTGAGGAGGCATCTCATCAAATCTGCCCATTTTTTCCCTAAGGGAGAGTTAGAGGTATAGGGACACGGCCAAGGCAGGCACGGGGCAGGACTGGCTCTTAGGTATAAATTCTGCTGCCCCGTAGAACACCAAGCACCTACTGGGGCTAATTGCAGTAGCTCTCCATTTACCGTTGCCCTTAAGGGACTGGGGCCCAGAGAGTAACGAAGGCCACATAGCTCAAGAATGTGACACCAAGATTTGACAAGGTTATGCTGTTTCTGGTCCAGTGTTTTTCCACTCTACCAACCTGAGTGCTAGACCAGAATCATTCCCAACAGGCCTTTCAGAAAATGAGACAGAGAGATCAATCCCTTGGGCTTTGCCCCACAGCCTCCCCACAGCCCCTCTATGTCCCGGAAAGGTCAAGCGGTGGCCTGTCACTCTGCTGATGAGCTCTGTGATGGGCAGAGACAGTGGTGCTGCACCAGGGCCAGGACGGGCTCTGCGGCTCGGCGTGTGCGGGTGTTCCTTATGCTCCTTCTCCAGCCCCTGCCTCTCTCTCGAGTGGTGGAAAAGAGAGAAAACCAGGCAAGCCAAGTGTGTGTGAGAGAAATTGCCTGCTTTTTATTTACTTACTTTTTAATCCTCACCTGAGGATATTTTTTCCCATTGATTTTTTAGGCGGGGGAGGGGGAGGGAGAAAGAGGTGAGAGAGAGACACATTGATTGGTTGCCCCCTGTACTCACCCCAACTGGGGCTGGGGATCAAACCTGTAACCCAGGTACGTGCCCCTGACCGGGAATCGAGCCCATGACCCTTCGGTGCCAGGCTGATGCCCTAAGCATTGAGCAACACCGGCCAGGGCAGAAATTGCCTACTTTTTAAAACCAGCCTGGTTTTTGTTAGATTCCCTTTATCCTGACAGGTCTCTGAAGCAAGATCTCCCTCCAGAGAACCCCGCTCCTGCCTCACAATTTCCAGAGGCCACAGCCAGGGCATGTTTGATGCTGACAGGGCAGGGAGAGAACTTTACACAAATGAGTGGAAGTGTGGGTGGAGCTGAGGTTGGGGAGGTGCACCCCGAGATTGCTTTGGTTACAGGCAAGAACTGAGCTCCCATTGCTCACCTTAACTGCACAAAATTCGGTCAACAGTGCCAGCTGGGGACACCCAGTTCCTGGTCTTGCCCTAGCCCCTGCTCACCCTGTGACCTTGGCAGTCACCTCACCTCTCTGAGTCCCATTTGCTTCAGTCATAAAATGGGGTCTTCATTCCTGGTCCTCTGGAAGGAGTCTGCCTGTGGAATGCCATTCTCAAACTGGAGTACATGGCCACTCTCAGACCTCCGGGCTGGGCTGGTGAATGTCAGACAACTGAGGGATGGGGGTTTCTTGCAGAATCTGAGCAAGGCAACCATGAGCCACTAGGAAGTGGACAGGATGCAGAACTAATTCTGTCAATGAGTCATGAATGAGCCTCTCAGCCTGTCTTGTAGCCACACCTGCTCTGGCTCACCTGTCACATGCAGCTGGCTGCCTCTGGGAGCTGAGACTTAGCCCCATGCTACCCTTCCTGCAAGCTGGCCCTAAGTTGAGGCTTCCGTGGACTAGCCCTTCCTCCCCTCTAGGCCCAGGGTCAGTTGGCACCTCCCTTTTCTTAGAGCTTTGACCCCCTTGGTGAAAGGAGGCCAGTCCCTGCTGGTGCTCGGGGTAGGGACAGGCAGTAACTACTGCCCTGCTGCCACCTCTCCCTGGGTGGCCAAACACCCAAATGGACACTGGGCACTGTGGCCATGGCTCCCTAAGCCCCAGAGTAGAGGTGGCAGGGGTCAGACAGAGTAAAGGCAGAAGCCCTGTAATCTGCTAGTGTGAGACGAGAGGGGCTGGGGATGCAGCTGAGCAGCAGCATTTTCCTTTCCTTATGAACTGCAGATTGCCCCAGCGGAAGGCCCAGACGTCAGCGAAAGGATGGTCATCATCACCGGACCGCCTGAAGCCCAGTTCAAGGTCAGTGCCAAGGGCTACCTGTGCCCTGCAGGCCATGGGCACAGGGCAGCCTGCTTGGAGTAACTGAGGGCCCCTCAGAGGCTTGTTCAAGAAGGGCTCTTTGGAGACCTAACCTCTGTTTCCCTTCCTGCCACTTACTAGTCTCATTCTCACCCTGTCCCCCACCTCCAGGCTATTCCCTCTGCTTGGAGCCCTCCTTCTCTTCTTTCCCTTGGAAAAGTAGTTTGTCTGTCAGTGCCCAGTCCCAGTGTTGCCTGCTCTGGAATTTGCTGATCCCCCAGCCGTGGTTTTGAGGATGGATGTTTCAGACTCACTTAGTTGCGTCTGCCGTTCAGGCTGTGAGGGCATAAATGTGGGTGCAGAGGGAATTACCATGGTATGGTGGGTGCATTGGCTGTTACTGTTTTTGTTTTGATTTTGCCTCTTGTCTCCCCTAGGAAAATTGTAACTTGAGTTTTATAATAGTCAGAAACATTTATAAAACTATAATTCTTTTCATTAAATATATTTAGGAGCACACTCCCTCCAGGAGAACATGCCCTTGTCTTTCCTTTCCCCTTCTCCCCCCACAGGCATGCATCTCCTAAACTCTGAGGGTCCCCACAAGGCTTGCAACCAGGGCAGCTCATCCTAGGCTAACCCCCAAACCTGTCTCCAAAGCCCCCTTATCTCTGACTTCTCAGTAAGCTAAAGCAGTCCCACCAGGGCACATTTCTGTCCTATAACGTTTCCAGAGAGCCAAGGCAGCTCCAGTTAGGCTCTCCTGTTGCTTCCACCATCCTAAGCCCTTCCTTGTTTCACTGTTCCCAGCTTTAATAAAAGTACTTTCAAAAATCAAAAAATATAGCCCAGCCAGTGTGACTCAGGGGTTGAGCATCGACCTAGGATCCAGGAGATCAAGGTTCGATTCCCGGCCAGGGCACAAGCCCAGGTTGCGGGCTCGATCCCCGGTAGGGGATGTGCAGGAGGCAGCCGATGAATGACTCTCTCTCATCATTGATGTTTCTGTCTCTCTCCCTCTTCCTTCCTTTTTCTGAAATCAATAAAGACATTTAAAAATAAATATGTATATATTTAAAATTTGTCTGAGATTATAAAACTAACACATGTAGAACCTATTCAAGAGTAATAACCCTTCAACTCCTGAATAAACAAAATGTATATCCATAAAAAAAATATTTCCCAGCCATAGAAAGGAATGAAACTCTGATATGCTAAGAGAAGGAAGGCAGACACAAAAGGCCCTGTGTTAAATGGTTCCATTTATATGAAATGTTCCGAAAAGGTGATGGGGATAGGGAGGAATTGGGACTCACTGCTAATGGGTTTTTATTTGGGGGGAAGGGATGGCAATGTTCTGGATAGTAGTGATGGTTATTGAATACACTAAAAAAAAATTGAAGTGTACTCTTTAAAATGGTGAATTTTAGGTAATATAAATTATATCTCAGTTTTTTAAAGTTTTTTGTGTTCTTTTTAAGAACAGTAACCTCTTGGCTACTAGTTAGACATTACAAAACAAGGTCAGGCTCATCAAATCCCATCACCTCCATCCTGTAATGACCGGGTCTGAACATATCATGGTGGGAAGACGTTAAGAATTCCCCAAACAAATTCACTGGAGCAAAAGTTTATAGGTGCTGGGGATGCAGAGGTGACCTATGGTTCTGCCCCCTCACCACCTCTCCCAGCCCAACATGTAGAAAGCTTCCCAGAGGTGGCGATTTTGCGCAGACCATGAAGACACGAGAGTGCTCTACATCCTTTGCACAGCGCGGTCATTGGAGGTGGTGGGAGCAGTGCCCGCCGGGCCTGTGCACGCTTCCCGGGGTCTGGCCTGAGTGAGCCTGGGGCCGGGTGTGCAGCAGCGGGCTTCACGAGTTCCTGCAGCATTGCTGCCCAAGCAGGCGGGCTGGCAGCTGTGACTCATCAGCCATGTCGCTCTCCTAGGCTCAGGGGCGGATCTTTGGGAAACTGAAAGAAGAAAACTTCTTTAACCCCAAAGAGGAGGTGAAGCTGGAAGCCCACATCAGAGTGCCCTCTTCCACAGCTGGCCGGGTGATCGGCAAGGGTGGCAAAACCGTAAGTTTGCTCAGGGCTGGCTTCGTCTGTGGGGCTGATTCTCTGCCGGGCCTAACTTCCCTCAGACCGCCCCCATTGGCTCTTCAAGACCCAAAATGTAATTAGCATCACTCAGAGCTGAGAGCCCCAAATCTATGGGGCTGCCCAGAGCCCAGTGTGTGTGCCCAGGACACCAGAGTCCTGTGCCCAGGAGTGCCACCCCTCAGTACATCTGGGGAGTGGCCTCCACCCCTTGAATACTCCTGCTCGTTTATATCCACACACAGCAGCGGGAGACTAACAGGGAGCAGAGTCCCACCCCGAGCACACCTATTTGGCAGACCACCGTCTTCACTGAATGTCATGCGTCAGGCTGGCGGCGTCTGGTGTCCTACACTCTACTTTTCAAACTCTCCTGACAGATGCCCCCAGAGGCCCTCACTCTCCCTCCTACAGATTCCGTCTTCTGGTTATTTCCTAAACCTGGCCATCTGCTACCAGGAGGTAGTTTAGCAACAGGGTGGTGTGTGAGAAGAAAACTGTTTTTAACAAAATGATCAAGGTTTTTAACCTGGAGATGGCGATGATGCTGCAATGGAATTTGAAAAGCATCAGAGAATGAGCTCTGCAGCTTTAGAAATGATCCGTCCGTCAGACCCAGGTGTGTCTAGAACATGAGTTACCCACCTGGTGGGATATGACCCTAAGAAGTTTCAGGAGAGCCTGTGCTCACTGGCAGAGTAGCATTGTTAGGTGGCAGCAATTTAGGAGATCTCTGTGGTCCTGAGTGAGTGTGTGAGTGTGTGTGTGTGAGAGAGAGAGAATGTGTGTGTGTATATCTGCTGTTTTCTTTATATAAAAACGCTTAAAGGAATCAAAGCCAAGTTCTAGATAGAATGAGTTCCCTTTATGCAGAAGAGTGAAGTCCCATGGTATACATGTTGCCCTGCCCCCATACCCAGAATGTGCTTAACATCCAAGGGCACACACTCTGAGCTTTAGGTATGCTGGTGTGTGTGGGCAAAGGAAAGCAGATAAGACCACAGGGGAGTAGAATCCTGAGTCCTTCAGTGTTCTCGTCATTTTAGAACCAGTCACTGAATTCTGTGCACAGTTCCCCACCTCCACCGCCATCCCCCAGGACTGTCAACTGTCCTCCCTACCTGTGGGCGCATGCTCAGCACTGTCACAGGGCCAGGGACCAGGGCGTAAACCCTCAGGAAGTGTAGTCCTGTGAGGCAGGTGAGGAGCACTGGAGTGAGGAAATGGGGTTTCGATAAGGCAAGACCCACATGGGCTGGAGGCTTCACAGGGAGATGGTCCTGAGCCCAGGAGAGGCAGGGGGGGAAAACAACCCAAGGGTAGGAACAGCATAAGCAAGATTCAGAGGTAAGAATGAAAATGAAGAGCAGGAAAGAGAGCAGAGCGTCATTAAAAAGCAAAGTTTACTTTGTTGGCTCAGGGTTGGTACCCAGGAGAGCTGTCCAGCAGCGATGTTCATCCCTGGGTTACTGGGGTCACAGTGAGCATGTGCACATTGATGGGAACCCCAGAAGAATTCAGCCCCAGAATCAGCTCCATGGACTCAGGAGTTGGACTTCCTTTCCCTGTCATTGAGCCTTCAGTGACCCAAACCAGCATGGCCCCATGTGACCAGGGGCAGGGTAGCCCAGGGGTTAGCTAGATTGAAGGTGAGCAGCTTCCAACCTCCTTGCCCTCTACCCCTCCCCTCCCACTTCCTCCTGAGCCTGCCTTTCTCCTTCACAGGTGAATGAACTGCAGAACTTAACCAGCGCAGAAGTCATCGTGCCTCGTGACCAAACGCCAGATGAAAATGAGGAAGTGATTGTCAGGATTATTGGGCATTTCTTTGCTAGCCAGGTACCTGTGCTGTGAGGGTCTGGTCTTTCTTGCCAGTCTCTTTTCAACTCTGTCTAAGCTACTGGTGGCCTGTCTGGTGGCCACAGCTCCTACACACACACACACCACCCCATCCTGCCCTGCAGATGGAACCTCCCCCTGGCTCTTCAGGCACTACCTGCAGGGCCTGGCAGGCTGTTCCATGTCTCCTCAGCATGGCTGTCCCCCAGGCATCCTAGAGAACTTTGAGGTAGGACTTTGGAGTCAAGCCAAGCACATTTCAAGCCCCTGAAATGCTCAAGTGCAAGATCTTGGCTCCCCTCACCCTCCTCCCGAGGCCTCAGTCACAGCCTTCCTCTGCTAGGAGCCACATACCAAAGGGCCCACCCTAGGGTTTCCCAGCTGCACCCTGAGAACCAGCCTGGGTGCCAGAATCTCCACATTCGGGGTTAAATGCTCATCACAGGAGACCCTCCTCTCTTACCTCGCCATCTCACTACGACACCCCCCTCAGGACACAGGGCCTCCACACAGCTTTCATTTGTTAGGGCCAGTGACTCAGCGTCATGTGGCCTAGTTCTTTTTGATGCTTTTTGTGGGTTGGGTGGGGGGATGGAGCAGTCTTGGCCCTTGTCATGAGCCGGCAGAGGCAGTCTAAGCTAGGCCTACATCGAAGGTTTGTGAGCAGTCCGCGTGCTCTCCCAAGGCTGCGCCTTGGCCTGGAGACCTGACTGTCCAGGAGGGCACCTGTCAGTGCCGCTCCCCTCCCCCAGCTCCCCCAGCTCCCCCAGCGCCCTGGGCTGTCTGAGCCGCCAGGCTTCTGCATGCAGTGTGCAAGGTCTTCCTGCAGGGGGAGCACTGGGGCGGGTTCACATGTTTTCTTCACTTGTTCAGGGTGGAGTGTCTAATCCAGTTTCTCACTCCTCCCTCATCTCATTTACTGTCATCTTTCCTAGCAATCATACTGACTTCCTGGTAACTCCAAAAACATGGGTGGCAGCACTGGAAGCGGAAGTGTCTTTAGGGGGGGAGGGGGATGCTGTCTGATCTCTGCAAGGCCCCCTGGTCACTGGTTTCCTGCTTCTGCTTCCTGGCCTATCCAGCAATTAATTGGAAGATTTGGGGGTTCTTATCCTTGACCCAGCAGCACTGGGGTTGGGGTGGGGGGAATCTGCCACTTTACTTCCAGGCAGAAAAGGCCCTATGTTAAGGGCTTCAGTGGGCGGGTGACCCTTTGCTGAGCTTACCACCCCCTTTCCCCACCCCTCACCTCACCGCTCATCCTCAGAACTGGGTTCCTTTCTTCCCGTTCCCTCCTCTCCCCCGCTGCAGACTGCTCAGCGCAAGATCAGGGAAATTGTACAACAGGTGAAGCAGCAGGAGCAGAAATATCCTCAGGGAGTCGCCTCACAGCGCAGCAAGTGAGGCTCCCACAGGCACCAGCAAAACAACGGATGAATGTAGCCCTTCCAACACCTGACAGAATGAGACCAAACACAGCCAGCCGGATCGGGAGCAAACCAAAGACCATCCTGAGAAATGAGAAGTCTGCGGAGGTGCCAGGGACTCTGCAGAGGCCCAGAGAATCCTAGGGGCCGGGAGGGAGGCAGGAGGCCGGCGGTCAGCGCCCAGCTCCTGCCTCCCCAGGGCCTCTGCAGGCTGCCCAGCCACCCACTTCACCATCCACTCGGCTCTCTCCCTAACTCCCACCACGCTATCCCTTTTAGTTGAACTAACATAGGTGAATGTGTTCAAGGCAAAGCAAAATTCACACCCTGTTCTTTTTGTGGGAAATTTTCTCTGTACATGTGTGTACATATTAGAAGGGGAAAGATGTTAAGATATGTGGCCTGTGGGTTACACAGGGTGCCTGCAGCGTTAATATATTTTAGAAATAATATATCAAGTAACTCAACTAACTCTCCAATTTTTAATCAAGTATTAATTTTTTTTTTCTTTTTAAAGAGAAAGCAGGCTTTTCTAGACTTTAAAGAGTAAAGTCATATTCTTTGGGAGGTCTCATGGTTTAGTAAGGAGCTTCAAGGCCACCCACACAAAATTCACCCAGTGGGAAATCTCGTCAGAAGGACACTCGGCAGTTCTGGATCACCTGTGTATGTCAACAGAAGGGATACCGTCTGTGAAGAGGAGACTGTCTCTTCACCCCCGTCCAGCTCACACACCCATTTCTCTTTGCTTCACAGGTTTTGAACTGGTTTTTGCATACCGCTCTGTAATTCTGTCTCTCTCTGTTTCTCTCTGCCCTCCCTCCCT